TATTAAAGAGACGATTATAATGGTGTAACTTGTTAAAATAAAATTGTATTTTTTAAATATGTTTTAATTGATATACGATTATGTATATTAATTCGATAAAGGTTTAAAATGAAACATTTAAAAGTAAAGAACGTAAAGTAAATTAATTAACTAATTATAGGTGTATAAAGTGTAAATTTAAAATTATAATTTAAAAAAAAATCGGTTGTGAGAGGGTGAGTGCATATGAGGAGAGGAGGAGGTGAAAAAGTGAAAAAATGTATAAAAGGTAATTTGGTCATTTAGTATTTTAAGACTTTAAGACTTTTGTTAAATTTGCTTTATAAGATAGTATAGATATGTTATTTATAAATGATTAGATTTAATATATTTTAGATTTAGAAAAGAGTATTTTGACTTCTTTTTTTCTTATATACATTATTTTTACTTATCTTACTTTTTTTTAAAACAAAAACATGGAGAGACGAAAGGTTTGATAAAAAAAAATTACATATTATTATTGTGATTTTGTTAACATATGAATATTTGTTACTCCGTAAGAGCAAAATTTTGGAAATATATTGAGATTTAAACATAAACCATTTTCGATCGAGTATGGTATTTAACATATTTAATTTAAAATGTCTCACATAAATGGGAAAAAAAAGTTTTCGATTTCCCATTTTGAAACGGGGACGAGGATGTGATCATATTCCTCAACAGGGACAGAAATGGAGATTCGAATCGGAGATGGGGATTGGGGTCCGGACCATTCCATGGCTGAGTTTTATGATGTTGTAGAGGCATATTAATGCCCTCTTTAGATAATAAAGGTCTTTCAAGGCATTAAAGACAAGATGTATATGTAATTGGATTAGGAGTGTACAAAAATCTGCCTTAATACTGAAAAAGTTTGTCACTCGAGGTGACCCACGACTTAAGTGACGTACAGCGTGTCGATATGCAGTTATTGTGTTTGAGTTGCGTTAGGTCTAGGAAACCCAATCTAACCCAAATGATTCGACGTCTCATGTTTGCCTTGTTTCACCGATTAGAGCTTTACCAGTTTAGGTCTCTAAAAACGCAACTCTAATGGTGTTTTTTGATACTAGAAGGGTACTCGTGCAATGCATTGAGACACATTTCCATTTCAATGCTCCATTTTTATTTTTTATCCATGTCGATATAATACTATTTTATGTGGTTTTGAGAAAACGATAATGTTTTTATTTTTAAAAAAAATATAAATTTGAAAATATCATATAAAATTTGCAAAAAATATATCAATATTAGTATCAGATTAATTATTTAAACGTTCTTGTTTG